CTCTCTGGGGGACTCACAATTTTATTTAAGACTTAATAACAACAGAAACTACCAAGATCTCATATAATTAGAAAACATTTCTCTTCAAAAGCACACTTAGAGATTCTCCACATTACAACTAGTGGTGAGTCAAAAATCGAGAAATTTTAATTATGTTCAGATAGGCCCCAGGTTGTAGAATATATACTAAATATGCAGATTTTTCTGGAAATCTTTCAAGAAGTAGAACTGAAGTCAGTTGAAGTCCTTTGTATGGCAGACTCCCTTGGGATTGTCTTAGAAAACAGAAGTTTGCCTCAAGTGGTTTCAAAAACTTCCTAGGCCTGAGAATCTACAGGAGTCACCTTCTAAACTGGTAGTACCTGCTGACTGATGCTCCTGAAGGTGAGAGTATTAGGACAACCCCTTCTGCCACACTGTGTTTCAGAGGTAGCACCACACCTTTCACTTCCAGAGAAAGCAAAATTAACCTCCTCTGATTCCAAGAAGTCAGTCTCCCTCCCTTATGGCAAAGTCTTGCCTTGTCCATGGGCTTTTTGGGTACTGTCCTTACATCTGTTGTGAAGCTGTTAAGCCTAGTGGCAGAGACTTAAGTTGGACATAAGGGAGACAGGTGTTGTGTAAGCCTTCCCTTCAGGCAGCTTCTGCAGGATGCCTCCCTCCTGATCTGAAACACCCACCCACTGTTATTCCCATTTTAGACCTCTCTGGAGCAGAAAGCAGTGTACTCTGCAGATGTAACTAGTACTTACGGAAACAAATAAAACAGACAGGATCACTCTGAATGCCAAAGATATACTAATCTGTTTACACCACCCACTCCCAACTCTTCTCTAAAGTGCTGTAAATATTGGGTTTTGTGTTGGGGGGATTGTGATACTTATCTAATGAAAGAAAAATCAAAGCAAAATCCTGTTCCTGTTTGTAGCTGGAACTACAGCCCCAGGCCTGCTTAGCTCTGCAAGTGATAACCACGCATCATCGTATACAACCCTGCTTCCTCTAAGCCTACAGTCTTTTTCTCCATTAACTCTAATATCAGTAAATATATTTAACCACCTGAGGTATTTACCTCAAAGTACTACATTTGATCTTCAAATAGGAGATTTTTTAGGCCCGAGTTCTGTCTTTTGAAGTTGAAGCAAGAGGATGTGGTGTTTTGTGACAATTATGTGGTGTTTACTAAACCAGACTGCTTTTCTTAAGATTAGGAAACAAATAAAATTAAACAATACACGGAATAAGCTAGTGGCCAAAGGGGAATATATTAGGATTCCCTGGAATGAAATAGAAGTCTTATTTCATTGTATTCTTGCATTTTTTAAAATGCATTCATTTCCTTTTGGTGCCACATATTTCATGCATTATTTTCTTCTTAACATCACAGAAATAGGTTCCCAACCTTTCCAAATAGAATATTTTCTTCTCACATCAACATAGCTAGTAAAACTTTACCTCATTTAATGATAGTAACTACCTTTATTAGAGGTTGTTTGAATACAGAACACAACAAAGCTTCCCAGTGTTTATTTACACTTTATGGTTAAAGATTACACATGCATTTAAAAATAGCAGTGTATTATTTACAAAGACATAATATATATTCTTTCTAAAAACAATGCTTAATGCATGTGTGGATTCATAGACCATTCAGCTTGTCCGTGGACCACCTGTGAGAAATGGGTAATTCTGAAGGGCCAGATTCTATAAACTGAGCTACAGTTTCTGAGATGATGCATTTCATCTACTAACTTGGGTTTTTAAGAAGCAATTTATTTTGTCCTTGAAGAAAAACAAGGTTAGTCTAATTTTTGTAATCTGATAAATGCCCTGGGGCATGAGATCTGTTTCCTAATTAAACAGGACTTTACAGCAAAATTAGAGCAAGACTCTGAGGGGAAAGAAAAGCTGCTAATTTTGACAGCCACGGTGAAAATTTCCCTTCACAAGAATAAGAATTGGGTTCCATCAAAACAGAACTAAATTGTGGTTTTATCTGCCTGCAAAATCATTAATAATACTGTTAACATATGGACGTGTGTGATTTAAAAAGAGCTCCACATGGAACCCCTGCACAATATGGAAAACGGCCCATGTGAGTGAGTGGTTAAAGTGAGTGGAGTCACCTAAGGTTTTCCCAGAAATATACTAGAAGACCCTTTTTTTGCTAATATATGGAGAGACTGGGGCAATGTTTCATTGGGTCCTAAGCCTGAGGGTTGAACTAGGTGCAGACCAGCTCTCAAGGAATCCCTTCCTTCCTTCCTTCCTTCCTTCCTTCCTTCCTTCCTTCCTTCCTTCCTTCCTTCCTTCCTTCCTTTCTCTCTTTCTTTCTCACACACATGCCCATAATTAAATGAAAACACAAATAGAATTTTAGTTTAATGATTTTATTAAAGTGAATAATGAGGGGAAGATATTGGGGAAAGAAAAAAGTTTTTCCTTTGCAATTGAAAGCAGTGAAAATCACTAAAGTAGAAGGGTTAATAAGGCATAATTAAGGAGGATAAGGTTCAGATAGCAGTATTTTGTGTTCTTGAAGCGCTATATCAAATATATAGAGAAAAACAGTGTGTATAGAGTGGTGGAGCAGACAATGAAATGAGGAGGTATGTTCATCTAGAGTTTTATACTCAGAAGAGGAACTGTGTTTTCTGGTTTTGTCTTGGGCTGGCTGGTTAGCTGTGTCCTTGCCAGGGACACCACCATCTTGTACTTGAGTTTCCTCAACTCAGAAGCTGGTCAGCTATCCTAACAATATAGAGAAGAAGTTTATAAACTTAGCATCTACAAACACAAATTCTCTGATAATATTTCAAGCGCATATTAGAGAGAGATATTCATTTTGTTATTGTTGTTTTTTTGGTACCAGGGATTGAACCCAGGGGTGCTTAACTATTGAGCCACATCCCCAACCCTTTTTTATGTTTTATTTATAGATAGGAGCTTGCTAAGTTGCTTAGGACCTCGCTAAGTTGCTGAAGCTGGCTTTAAACTCTCCATCCTCCTGCCTTAGCCTTCCAAGCCGCTGGGATTATAGGCATGTGTCATGGCCTTTGTTTTGATATAATAGTTTAGAAATGAAAATTTTCTCAGACAATTAAAAATGCCACATGGATTATCAGATATATGGGAGAACTATCTTTTCCTCCAAGTTATAAAGTCAAAATTTTTAGCTGTTATTTCTGTTTTATATAGCATATATACATATATATACATGCATATGTGTGTGTGTGGGTATTATAGAGCCTTTTGTAAACAGAACTATTTATAATCAATATCAGACTTTGTATACTCATTTGTACTTATTTGGCTCACTACACCTTTCAGGATTATAATATGAAATGTTACCATCCACATAAATGTGAAAATCACATAAAATTTTTAATGTGATTCACATTTGTATTATCAAAATTATTAAATAAACCATTATGGTAATTATTTATCATTTCCCACATAGCTTTCAAACAAAAAAAAAAAACTATGATACAGAATCCTCAATTTCATATCCCAACCTAAGGGAAAAAAATGTTCACATTCTTTTCAATGTCACAAATGTGTTCTTAATTTTTTAAAATAGTTTTTAGTTGTCAATGGACCTTTATTTTATTTATCTATATGCTGTGCTGATAATCAAACCCAGTGCCTCACACATGCAAGGCAAGCGCTCTGCCACTGAGCCCCAGGCCCTCAAATGTGTTCTTATTGTGCTACTTGTTGCTTTAATGGGTACAAAGAAAAAAAGTAAACTCTTAAAAAACAGAAGAAAAAATGACTTACTTTTTTAAGTATTAACACTGATGTTATTAATAGATGCTATGGTAAGGTACAGCCATCTGCTTAAAGTTACACAGAAAATAAACCAAGTCCAAAAGCAAGATCATACTGCAATTTCATACAGGGTAGGATTTGTAGTTTATACATACAGCAAGTTTATTAATTTTTTCTTCTTCTTCAGAAAGGTTTTATATTTAGTTGGTTTCATGAGGGTTCCATCAAGATGAAACTTGATTATTTGCCAGGCATAGAGAGGAAAGATCCAGGCAGGGGCCTGTGTCTCAGTAACTGCCAATTTGTCTGAATCCTAATTTTGTCTCATTTGCAGCAAATTATGGTGGATGGCTAAAGCGAAATATGAGCATCAGTATTTTCTTAGGCTTCTTCGTCGTTCTTTTCAAACACAGCTAGTTTAAAATTCCAGTGTGAAAAATCCCAAACTAGCTGCTGTGATTCAGGACCTTTAAAGGAATTGTTTTCTGTTGTATTTGTCGGGAATAATGTTTTGAAATAAAAAAGAAAATGGAAAGGTATGGAACACATCAGTCAATCATGGATGTGAGTTTTTCTGCCATCTACACTTTCCTCTTTCATCCAGGTACCACGTGCCCCTTTGGTAATAGGAAATAACTTCATAGCAGAATGGGCAACTGAGAAGTTCTATTTCATAATTCCACAGGCCATGGGATTAGACTTATATATGAGTCTTAATTTGTCCCACAAACTGTAGTCATCACATTCTATCACCCAAGTGTAACTAAGATTTAAATATTTTTTTCTTTCATCAGTTTGGGAATCTTTCAAAGGTTTGCATTGAATAATTGTTTTATTATTGCCTTTGAGAAGTGTGTGTGTGTGCGCGCGCTCAAGCGAGCGGATGTGTGTGTGTTTGTGTATGTGAAAGACAGAGACAGAAAGGGAGAAAGAGACAGACAGACAGATACCCCTCCACAGTTTAGCTTTTCTCCCGAACAATGTTGCCCAGGGTCAGAATTTCTTTTCTTGGAGTGGTGCACATGTTCGGCTTGCAGCTCAGAGGCATGCCTAAATGCTGCTCCTGCTGTTGGATTTATACTGAAGGGAGGCTGGGGTGTGGAGGGAGGACCTAGAGGGGAGGGTACAATTAAATCACATTGAGCTGGGTATGTGTAGGAAAATTATATGTATTTTATTCTCTGTGGATAATCCATCTGCAAATAAACCCATCTCTATTTTATTCATAGTTCTAATGGCAAGTCTGTGTCATGGTCTGAACCAGGTGGAAGACAGGTGCCCAAGGGACAGCACATGTGGCACCGCCTCTCTGTGCACGTGAAGACCAATGAGACGGCCTGCAACCAAACGGCCGTCATCAAGCCCCTCACTAAAAGTTACCAAGGCTCTGGCAAGAGCCTGACCTTTTCAGATACCAGCACCAAGTCCCTTTACAACGTGGAAGAGGAGGAGGATGCCCAGCCGGTTCGCTTTAGCCCTCCCAGCAGCCCTTCCATGGTGGTGCACCGACGCGTGTCACCCGCGGTGACCACGCCTCCTCTGCCGCCCCACTTGACAGCGGAGGAGACCCCTCTCTTCCTGGCGGACCCGGCCATTCCCAAGGGCTTGCCCCCTCCCCTCCAGCAGCAGCAGCAGCAGCAGCCACCGCAGCAACCACCGCAGCAGCAGAAACCCCTGATGGACCAGCTACAGGGAGTGGTCAACAACTTTGGCGCGGGAATCCCGGACTTCCATGCGGTGCTGGCAGGCCCTGGGGGCCCGGGGAACGGGCTGCGGTCCCTGTACCCGCCCCCGCCACCCCCGCAGCACCTGCAGATGCTGCCGCTGCAGCTGAGCACGTTCGGGGAAGAGCCCATCTCCCCGCCCGCGGAGGACGAGGACGACAGCGAGAGGTTTAAGCTCCTCCAGGAGTACGTGTATGAGCGCGAAGGGACCACGGAGGAAGACGAACTGGAAGAAGAAGATGAGGACCTACAGGCGGCCAGCAAGCTGACCCCTGAGGCTTCTCCTGCCCTGACACCTCCGTCGCCTTTCCGAGACTCGGTGGCCTCAGGCAGCTCAGTGCCCAGCTCCCCAGTGTCTGAGTCGGTGCTCTGCACCCCTCCCAATGTGTCCTATGCCTCTGTCATCCTGAGGGACTACAAGCAAAGCTCTTCCACCCTGTAGGGAGGAGGCCTCCGAATGGAGAAGCAGGATAAGCCAGAGAGCTCCAACCCCTCCAGGGATGTGCAAAAGCCAGGAGGAGAAGAGGGTGGGGGCAAATGGGGAGGAGAGGAAGAGGAAGCTGCTGCTGCTGCCTTAAGGGAGGAGAGAGGGAAAGATAGCAAGCAAACAGTGAGCCAGGCCAGGATTCTGATTCTTGAGTTATTCAAAGCCTTCTCTAGGAAGAAAGGGAATTCTGACAAAGCACAATTCCATATGGTATGTAACTTTTATTGCAAAAAAATAAAAATAAAAAATAAAATAAACAAAAATAATCTCCTCTTTTGCACAATTGTGCATACATATATATATACATATATATATATATATATACCCACACACACTTGGCCAAGCCAGGAAAGGAACCACCTCTGGGGACCTGCCAGTTGAACCTTTAGTTCATGGCATTAGTTCATGGCATTTGTAGTTAGCAGGTGGAGCTAGTCAGAGCAGGCAGGTGAAAGGGAGGGGCCGGAAAATGGGGACAACCAGGAACCAGGTGATGGGACAGCAACTCATTTCTTGGAAGCCCTTGTCCCTGCTGGACCTGCAGAATCCTGATCTTCAGAAGACTCAGGAACTGACCCTCACTGGGGCCTCTCTTCATCCATTGCTGCCATCCACCAGCAGCCTTGCTGTGGCACTTGGAGAAAGGTGCATGAATACCCCAAGGCTCTGTGATTTTCCTCTACTTAGGAAAACAGGAATAAGAACAAAATCATCACCAAAAAGTGCTTCCTTGGGAATGCAATGGGAGAGAAATGCAAAGAATGAGAAGCAAGGCAATACTTAAGTATRGGTTTTTGGGCAAAATCAGTCAGCACAACCAGCCTCCCATATTCAATACCTRTTTATTGGAGGTTTTGGAAAACAGTGAAAACAATAGGTTGCTGTAACTTTTGTGGATTCACTTGTGCTTGTGCCAAGTGGGCTCTCCATTGCCCTTCAGTTAAAGAGAACAAACCATRTGGCAGAAGTGTTACCTTCCATTTACTGTAGCAAATAAATCTAACCAGTTGGACTTCTAAGGTTCAGTATATGTACAATGTGGTGCCATTGTTTCTCCAATGTACAACTGAAACAAATCCATTATTGAACCTGGTGGTRTACTCATAGCAACTATTACTCGCCCAAATGACAAGTAATTCTTTCCTGTTGTCATGGGAGTCCCTGTAACTAGCAAGTGAATGTATTCTTGTGTCCTCATATACGTGTAATTATAGACCTGTGCAATGTAACGTCAATCTAACTGCAACTAGAAGATTGTCYTTTGGATATAGCTATAGATATTTTCATGTTCTAATAACGTTTTATATATCATTGTCACCAGTACCTGCAGAAGCTCTATGAAGGTTTGAGTACTTTGGTTCAGTGTATGTCATATGCAGCTCAGATGGTAATTCCTCTTTTGAGATGGAACTTATTTTTCAGACATTTTATGATGTGGGTATGTTATTAATGAATTAGTTTRAAAATTTGTTATATCAAAAGGTCACAAAAGTTATGGGTGACAAAAAAGGGACATTTTATGAACTTGCACACATCATTATTAAAACAAAAGATTGAAAAGTATTTAGATTATTCCAGATTATTTTAGATTTTTAAAAAAGATTTTCCACAGCTACTTGTGCTTTTTGTTCTTCTAGCACTTAATAGTAGCCAAGTCCAGACATAATTTATCAAATATTTATTTATCAATCACATTTTGCCTTCTTTTTATTTTCATGTCATTTTTTCTTGCTATTTTTGCTGTCATAACTTTTGTTTGTAATTCTCTCATTTGTTGCTGTGTTAATATCCTTGTACATGTAATCTTGTTGTTCCATTTTTACCCTCCTTTAACTCCCCAATAAAAGGATTTCTCTTCCTGTTTTGATTTCTTCTATTATTTGTGGATGAATCCGATCCCTTTAAATATCTTTGTTTATGCCTTATGTTCAGTCATATTTTAATATGCTGTCTTCATGTTGAAGCTGCTGATTTCTCAGCCAAAACTCATCTGAGAATCTTTAAATATCAACGGCATCATTCGTTCAGAATTTAACATCAGTTCTAATGTTGGAGGCTTTTATTCCTTAGGTTTTACCAGATTCTACCATCAAGCTTAGTCATTTCCATATTGAGAATGAACTACCTTTCCTTTTAAAAGTTTATTTGAAAACACCATTACTGAAAAGACCTCATGAACAAAAATGTGAATTTCAATTCCATGTTTTCCTTGCAATGAAGCAGAATGAGAAAAATGGACAGCTCYGGTGCTTAAAAGATGGAGTTTTACTAATTGGCAAACTAGCAAGAGAACATATGCTCTCTTCTTAGTGAACATCTTTTAATGTTAATGCCATGTATTAATATATATCCTTAATATTGCAGGACTGTGCATTCAGATTTTTTAAACACCAGAATAGATAAAGAAAACAACTTTCATTCCATAATGTTAGATGGTGATTTGTTCTGAGATTTGGATTTAAGACATTTGGTGAACACTTTCAACACTGATTCCAGTTATACTCTGAATGCCTACTATCATCATGATTTCAAGTTTTCCTGAATAAATAGAGTATTAGCTCTCTGTCCTAATTGTTCACAGTTGGAGATGTACACATACATATCTGTACCAGAAGGTCAGAGACTCCTCACCTTAATGTATGTGCTTATACAGATTGTTCTGCTTCTTGTAAAAGTGTTTTCCTTTGGCTTGTTACTGCCTTTTGTCAAATAACCTTGATAATGCTGTAAAATAAATATTTTCTATTTACTCAATGTGTACGTTCCTTCTCTAAACTTTGGAAGCATTATAATAATAGAAATA